GAATCGCAAGGGTGCGCCACGACGGAGGAAGCGAGAGCACCATATACCAGGTGAGTCCTCCGTCACCAATTCCTCTCTGCAAAACCATTTCTCTATACATTCTTGGAAATACTATACATCTTTGATTCATTCAATTATGTATCCTCACACAACTAAGATATATCCTTCTTCTTTTCTCATCATAATTTCATTTAATCATTCTCTCTCTATATAAATACACTATTCACCCCATAGTGAAAAATCCACAACAAAGCACACACAATATAATGTCTTCATCTCATAATAGGAACTTCTCATTTTTTCCAATGGCCATAACCCTAGTTCTTGCCTTCGCAATCCTATTTGTTTCTCCATCCGTATCCACTTCCCCGAACTTACTTGATCACCCCGGTGCGAAAACGGGCTTTCAGGTAACCCTCAAACACGTCGATTTCGGAGGCAACTTCACCAAACTGGAGCTCTTACAACGTGCGATGAAGCGAGGAAGAAAGAGGATGGAGAGGCTCCACTCAATGGCCCTAGCCTCATCCGATGCCACCATCGAAGCCCCCATTCACGCCGGAAACGGCGAGTTTCTCATGGAACTGTCAATTGGAACCCCGCCGGAAACCTACTCCGCCATACTCGACACCGGAAGTGACTTAATTTGGACACAATGCAAGCCTTGCAAGAAGTGTTACGACCAACCAACCCCGATTTTCGATCCCTCGAAGTCATCCACCTTCTCTAACATCCCGTGTGCCAGCGACCTCTGCAGTGCTCTGCCTCAGTCGTCCTGCGCCGACTCAAACTGTGAGTATGAGTACACTTACGGCGATTATTCGTCGACACAAGGCACTATGGCGAAAGAAACGTTCACGTTTGGCAACGTTTCGGTCCCGAAAATAGCGTTCGGGTGTGGATCCGACAACGAGGGTGCAGGGTTCAGCCAGGGCAGCGGGCTTGTTGGAATGGGTCGGGGCCCGTTGTCGTTGGTTTCCCAGCTCAACGAGCCTAAATTTTCGTATTGCCTAACATCAATTGACTCCAGCAAGACTAGCACCCTCTTGATGGGGTCTCAAGCAAATTATAATGTCAACAACTCAAATATTGTCAAGAAAACAACCCCATTGATCAAAAGCACATCAAACCCTACTTTCTACTATATTTCACTTGAAGGGATCACTATTGGTGACAAACTTTTGCCAATTGAAAAATCAACTTTTGCAATAAGAGAAGATGGGAGTGGGGGAATGATAATCGACTCGGGCACGACTCTCACTTATCTCGAGGATAGCGCTTTCGATATTGTCAAGAAAGAGATGATTGAGCAGATGAAATTGCCGGTGGCCAATCAGAGTGGGACCGGGCTCGAGGTGTGCTTTGACCTTCTGTCCGTGGACCACGATATCGAGGTGCCTAAGTTTGTTTTCCATTTCGAAGGGGCCGATTTGGATTTGCCCGGTGAGAATTACATTGTTGCCGATTCGAGTGGTGAAGCTTGCTTGGCTATGGCAAGATCAAATGGGATGTCCATATTTGGTAATGTGCAACAACAGAACATTCTAATGATTCATGATCTTGTTAAAGAGACTATATCGTTTGTGCCCACGAAGTGTGATGAATTGTGAAAATAATATTAATTGAAATTTGAAATAAAAAGAAATTCCTTTCTTTCATTAATTTTGTGTGTACATATTTGCTTTTATGGATACCTTTTTCTTGGTGAATATAGTTTGGTTCTTTTGGAAACCTTTACTGATTTATATATGCTTATATATTATTACTAGTATTCGCCCACGGGGCACATTTTCTCAAATGAATATAAGCAATTGCAAAATAATTAAAGTAAATCAAACACAATTCTTACGCTCATTGATTATAAACGAAAAAAGAAGTGTTGTTAAAGATTTTCAAAATGTTGTAATTTATGAAACGAAACAATTACAAAACATTATCGACCGACAATACTAATACTAATACTAATTACTAATACTAATACTAATACTAATAATAATGATAATGCTAATACTAATCCGAATATTATATGCTAATGTTAATGCTAACGCTCAGTGGCGGCACTTCTAAGGGGCAGGGGGGCAGTTGACCCCCCAAGAAAAAAAAGAATTTTTTTTTTAGCTATTTTGACATTATATTTTTTGAAAAGTTTGCCCCCCAAAAGTTTTGGTAAATGTGTATCTTAATCCTTAATTTTTTTTTATTCTCCATAATTTTATATAAATTATAGATGTATATCATATTTAATATAAAAATATAAAATAAAATGGTTAAAACTTATACTATTTTAAATAAAATTTATGAATATTTACTTATCCGATCTTTGATTTTTTTTTATATCAACGTCTCTAAAAAATAATATGAGACGGTGCCATAAATCCTAAGTGCAATATATATTTAGAATAATTTAGATTTTTTGTCATGCTTGAAATGTGTGTGTGTGTTATTTTAATTAAAACTTCGCAATATATACATATTTTTGCAATGTCTTGTGCACCTAAAAAATTTTAGTTAGCCCCCCCTACTTTTTAATCTTGGTTCCGCCCCTGCTACCACTGATGTTAATGTTAATATGTTACCGTTAAAACTAATACTAATAGTAATACTTAATATAAATTGAAATTATATGTTTTTAAAAGATATGCTAATCCAAAGGGTTTGTTAGCAAGTTATGTTTTAAACGAAATTATATATATGATTGATTAAATATAAATCGAAATTAAAACTCGTATTCGTAGGAAGATTTCCATCTGTTGATGATCGAAAGCAATGTTGTCAGAACATGACCGGACACAAAATCGGATAGGCATTCAAGTCACGGTTGGACCGGGTTCAACCCGGGTTTTTTAGTGTTTTTTTCATTATTTTATTAATTTTATAATTCAAAAATACTATTTTTCTATATTTCTTTTGAATTATTTGCACAGACCCCATGTGTAAGTTGTAATGGCTAAGCCCCCATTTTAATACAATTAGCAATTAACCCCCTATGTTGTATTTTATTTAGTTCACTTCCCCCTAGTAGAAATAAATATGTTGATTAAAAGGAAGTGACTATAGTAGCTACCCTTCAATTAATAACATATACGTAGAATTAATATATAATAGAGGCCAATTTGCTATTTTTCTAAACTTCTGAAACTAAATTAGGGGACTGAATTCTACTTTCTCAAACATAAAATCGAATTGAATTTAAATATAATTAATCCAAAACTTTAGATCAAATCACAGTTTTTAAAATTTCTTAAATAATGAAGAAAAAAAACAATTTTTTTATGGAAAAAAAAGGAAAAAGAAAAGAAAAGAGAGAAAATTGCGGCTTCCACAAAATTCTTCTTCCCCATTGAAATCACCACCACCAAACTCACACCACTACCTCCGGTAATCACATCTTCACGCCGCCGCCGCCGCCCCTTCCTTCCACCACCCACCTCCTCCGCTCTTCCGGTCCCCTCCACCGCCAACTTTTCCTTGCCTATTGCACACCAGCCATTTTTTCTTTTGCAAATTCTAGAATCTTAGCAAGCCTAGAAAAATTACTACACTCCAGCCAAAGCTCTAATCGTCACCACCGCCAAAGCCATAATCGCCGCCATCGTCGGAGAAGACGATAAAAAGCATAAAAACTACGGAGATGTTTGGATCCAGATGCATCAGGTTCCTTGCATAATGGTGGGCCACTATCGGAAGACGCCAAAAAATGCATAAAATAATTTTTTTCGTGGATTTTTTTTCTCTGAAAAACTATGCTTTCGATGGGGCAAATATCTACTTGGATTTTCACGGGTTGTTGATGTATTTTGCAGAATAATAATGAGTTTGAATCTTAGCTCCAAACCGAACCGAATTTCGTTGGAGAAAATGTTAAAGCGGTGGGGCGAAGCAGAGGCTGAGGATATAGAGGGAGGTGAGGCCGGAGATAGTGTTCACCGGAAGGAGAGCAGCAATCAGCTATGTCAGTGTATTTTTGGAAAATTGCAAATCAGTCCATGACTTAAGGTAGCAGAGGGCTTTTCTGAAATTTCGAGGGACTGAATTGAAAAAATTGCAAATTTTATTTAGGGCTTATTTTTTAAATTTATAATACAAAGGGTATTTGGGTCTTTTCACGTCAAAAAAACGAACCCCTGTTACATATTTACATAGGATATGTGCTAATTGTTATAACATAGGGTGCTAGATGCTAAAACCTCTATTTCTTTTATATATATTTACATATTGTATTCCATTGTAATACCATATCCCTTTATCGTAGAATTTATTTATTTTTGTATTTTTTTATTCTCATTTAAATTTTTTATTCACATTTATATTCTCTCTCCTCTCCATGACTCTCTCTTTCTTCCCACTTTCTGTCGCCATTCTTCCTTCTCTCCTTATCTCTTCTTTTTCTCTCAATTTTCTCCCCTTTAATTTCTTTCTCCATTTTTGGCCTCCGACCATCGGATCCAGCCCACCGCCGCTCAGATCCGGCCAACTAACAGCCATTAAGGCCGAGATCCGCCGAGATTAGCCCACCACATATCGTTTTTGACAAAAACCGGGGTCATCAACCGTTTTCCGGTCTTCAGTGTCCAACCGGCCGGTCCATAATTCTACAAGTTGGAGGGGCCGATCCGGTCCGATTCTGACAACCTTGATGGAAAGAATGTGCACATATCAATCCTTATCCGTATGAAGAAACAATTATATGTAGAATCTCTTATTTCATCTTCAGTACCATCATCGGAGAACTTTTCATACGATGGATGCAATCTCGGATAATATATTGATTCACTTTCATAATTTTTCCAAAAAAACAAGGCAAAATCAAAAGTTGGATATATATAAATAAACATAAAAATAATTATTTTAGGTGCATATAATCCTAGTAAATAGAATAAAATTAAAGTGATATTTGCATACAATGAAATAAAGTAAATATAAACAAATCTATATACCAAAAAGAAAATCAAAAACCAAAACTTTCGAAGAAAAGAAAAGGTGTATTAGAATTTTTTTTTGGTTCAGTTTGATTGTGGAAAGTTGAATTGATGGTGCAATAAATTGAACAGCAGTACAACTCGTAAATGTACCAACGCACTAACAAAATAGGAAGCATACCACATATGGGTGATGAAGTTGTGTATACATTAATGTAAAAAACAAATTCCCGCAGGATTCCGGCGTTGACTTTTCAATTTTTTTTTTCTTTTTTTCCATATTTTTTCGTCGGTTTCCGGCGTTGAATTTTTCGATTTTTTTTTTGTTTTCTGTTTTTCTTTTCTTTCTTTCTATAACTTTTTTTTCGTTTAAACAACAATATTGCTGTGACAACAGTAATATTAACTATATTACTGTTAAACACAGTAAAATTTACTAAACTACAATTTAACACAGTAATATTGCTATATTAATCTCTAGCATAGTAATATTAACACAACAAAACTCATTATTATTGTGTTATAGAGTAATATTACTATGTTGACCGTTCAACAAATGTGAACATAATAAAAAGTTAAAACAATTAATATTACTGTGAGTGACAGTAATATTACTATAACAACAGTAATATTACCGTCAACCACAGTAATAGTACAATAATAGACAGTGATATTATTACGTTGCTCCATGAATAACTCAAACAAACAAAAAAAATCCAAACAAAATAATAGTATTGATGTGGTTGACAACAATATTACTATAACAACAGTAATATTACCGTCAACCACAGTAATATTATTGTGTTTACAATAATATTACAATAATAGACAGTAATATTATTACGTTACTCCGTGAATAATTCAAACAAAACAAAAAACCCAAAAAAATAATAATATTGATGTTGTTGACAGTAATATTATTGTGTTTACAGTTATTTTATTGTCAACGACAGTAATATAATTACGTTGACTTGTCAACAAATCAAACAATATAAAAAAAATAACAAAAAATAAAAAAATAATAATATTAAGTTAAATTACTGTCAACGACAGAACAATTACGTAAATGTATTGTAACCGGCAGTACAATTACGTTAATTAACTGTCATTGATAGTATAATTACGTTAATTTAATGTCAGTGACAGCACAATTACGGTCAACGTTTAGCGGCGGAAGTACAAAAAAAAAAAAAAAGAAAAAACACTAAAAAAAGTTAACGTCAGAAACTGGCGAAAAAATCCGGAAGAAAAGAAAAAAAAAATCAACGTCGGAAACCAGCGAAAAAATCCGAAAGAAAAAATAATTGAAAGAGTTGGCTCCTCATGGGAGTTGCCTCGCAACGGGTTGTAGGACAGTTATCTCGTTGTGGTTTCGTAGACCCGAGGGAGTTGGCTCCTCGTGGGAGTTGCCTCGCAACAGATTATAGGACGGAGCAAGTGGTCTCCTCGTGGGAGTTATCTCGCTGTGGTTTCGTAGACCCGATGGAGTTGGCTCCTCATGGGAGTTACCTCGCAACCGGTTATATGACCGAGCAAGTTATCTCCTCGTGGGAGTTGTCTCGCTACGGGTTGTAGTTCCGAGCGAGTTGGCTCCTCGTGGGAGTTGTCTCGCTGCGGGTTCGTAATACCGATGGAGTTGGCTCCTCATGGGAGTTGTCTCGCAACGGGTTTGTAGGACGGAACGAGTGGTCTCCTCGTGGGAGTTATCTCGCTGTGGGTAGTAGTAACGAGGGAGTTGGCTCC